ATATATAAAATGCAGATGGAAATTATTTATCTTTTTATTTTGAGTTTACGGCAATATGACATATAATCTTTATTTGATAATACAATATGCATCATAATTAAATTAATAGTATTAATTAATTTCGACAACAACTATAGTCTAGGGACTTATGTCTTGGGAAGTCAAAATCTCCGCAATCTCCGAGATCGTCCATTCTATATGAGTTGCGTAATCAAATACTATAAAAAGCCACTGATCTACCTAAAAATAAACGAAAAAAATTTTCATTCTCTTCCCTTACATTATCTAGTTTCACTTGGTCAGATACATAAACCGACATAAACAAGATTTTGCAATTTCTCACATATAAAAGTAATATGTCTTCATACGCTTCTTCTCATTCCTCTCCTATTTCTACATCCTCTACTTTGACGGAAGAAAGGTCAACTCGCACGATGGCAGACGTGGTAAAAGATCTGGACACGGAAGAGCTTATTGATTATTTGCAAAGACAAGATCTAAAACTTATAGAAGCAGATTTCAAAATATTCCGCAATGAGAGGATTTCTGGCCGTGACTTTCTTAACACATCTAAAGAGGAGTTTCGCAGTTATGGATTAAAAGCTGGCCCAGCAAAAAGACTTGCAGATTTCATCAAAGAGATATCAGAGCAAAAATTAAGAAGCTTCTCGTCATATAAAACATTGGAAGAGTTAAAAGATGTTCTTCGCAAGTATAAAGTCAATGGGGAGGATATAACGAACATCAAGCAATTCAACCGGGCCGGAAGCGAAATTTCTTGGCAAATTTTACAATCAAATTCCAGACATGTGATAATATATTTTTCTGTTGTATAGTCTTCAAGGAGATCGATGATGAAGTGCTCGAACAGTGCATGGACGAAATAACATTAAGACCAACGAATCTGGAAACAATGCAAACAAATGCTATGACGTGTAGATCACGCTATTTTTAGCCTGCTACATCAGATAAAATAAACTTTTCGCAATTGGGATTGTGTATGCTAATCACTCTGTCTTTTAACCAGAAATATTAAAGGAAAGTCATGTGGATCGAAATAATCAGAGTTCTAGGATATTGGCAATGTGAAGAAACTTCACGTCTATCACATGATACTGTGGTCGATCCTGTCTTTCGGCTTAATATTTTTACCATTTTACAGTAAGTATCATTGATACCTTACGCCCTTATGGCGTCCCAAAAGTCCATCACCCAATTGCTATTAAATCTCATCCACAAACGAGCACCCGAACTTTTTCCCGATGGACCTCCTCAAGAAGCTGAACCTTGTCTAATTTGCAAGAAAGAAATCCTGGAATCACTTGCTTTTTTTAAATGTAGACCTTTGTTTCGTTCAACGCGATGTCCAGAGTACCATAACCCTATCAACGAAAAAATTGGCATAAATGAAGCACGAAAAGTAGAAAAGCTGTTAATATTTTTGCGCGAGCTACAGGGTGATATAATGGATGAAGATGATGTCCTGGCAGATTATCGGCATCGGGGAATCTTCGTAACGTGTACCGAAAACTTGGAAAAAATGAATCTCAGAGCATATATTGTTATTTTGAATTTGGTAAAGTGATTGTAATTCGACTCGATGAACTATTAGAGAAGGGGCAAAAGAAACCTCGAGAGAAGCTGAACCAAGAAAATGGAAAAGGCCCGAAAAATATATAACCTTTTTAGTGTTATTGGCGAAAATAAGATTCGGAGAGTTCGTTCATTCTCCATTGATTCTATCTCGTCGTTTACAATAGATGAACCTAACTACATAAAATGAAAGGTAGTGTAAAAATTTAGGGTGCCGTCAATTATGTCACGTTCGATATTTTTTGTGCATAGACATAGTCTAATCTTATACCAACCTAATACGTCAATACTAATATATCAAATAGAAATTTCGTATTCAAATGTCTGGCCAGACAATACATAATAAAGATCTTTCATTTTTATATTTTTATATGGGACTACAAAACATAAATGCGTAATCATTATCGTAAAAGGTATAACGCTGTGCACATCTTCACTGATATGACCATATATTTTATTAAGAACCAAGTAGGTTGCAACTCAGTAAAGCTTCAAAGTTTCATATTGGATTTGCCAATTTCTTATATTGAGCCGGTTAGCCACTTCTTGGGAGTTCGAGATAAGAGAAATGTATTACGAAGTAATGGTTACGCAGTCTCAAACACGTGATTTTAATTAACTTATACCCTTCACAAATATTTTACGTGACAATCTTTATTTATGTATCTATTGCAAATCAGGATCTTTCGAGTATAAAGCAAAAAAGAATAAGGTCAATCTTTTTCTATATCTTCGTAGCTCTCTAATCTCTGATGAAGTTTACAGTCACGCGTATCCCTACTGTCGTTAGGCATATCTTCCTGCGTTCAGATGTTTGGAGGCAGTCTGTTGGGCGTCCCTTAAGCATACGTGTTTAAGGCATATGTCCCAGTATGCTGTTTTCCAGGATGCGTTCACCATACCTACTGTCGTTAGGCATATCTTCCTGCGTTCAGATGTTTGGAGGCAGTCTGTTGGGCGTCCCTTAAGCATACATGTTTAAGGCATATGTCCCAGTATGCTGTTTTCCAGTATATAGTTGACTGTAAACATTGCCATCATATCTTTTATTAAGACGGATAAGCGATTAATATATGTATTAATTTTTTTTAGATGTTTGAATCCATTGTGATGGAATATCTCGATAAGACGAAATGTAAAGATTGGTCAGTCTTTGGAATTCTTGAATTTGCGCGATCGAACTCGAAATTATCAGTGGCAACAATTGACGATTTCAAGGAAGATTTATACTCAATATTATGTAGCTATAACGACAAATGTAACATCCACGTATTTGCCAAAAACAAGGCGGCGAAGATTCTATCAAATTTTGACTCAGTTTTCTCGAGTACCAAAGTGAGACAATTTATTAAAGATCTTGAATATCATGAGGAAGCGCGAATAAATGTAACATCAACTTACACTGCCACAGTATTAGAGGTAATATTTATGAAAATCAAAAACCAACGTTTATAATAGACCAATAGATTTATCAAAAAATTTTTAGGATCAACGAGAAAACCAAAAACTTATCGATCATTTACGAGAGACATCCAATTTAGAAAAGGGAAAGGAGCGTGAAAAAATTACTAGACCACTTGATGCGGAAGATGATGACCATTCGCATAAACGTCAGCGTAATGATGATGAACTTTCAGATTCGATAAAGGTATTATTTATATTGCATTAATTTTTAGCAAATAAAAAAACTTTCTTACACATGTATATAGATTTCAGATTATGAAGAATTCTTCATTGAATGGGAATTTGATACACTGATACTAAATTGGATAGAACGATTATCGCAAACTCATCAGTCATTGATGTCTGATGTTTTTCAATATGATCAAAAAACTCGTTACGTATTATCATCAAAGTAAGTGTAGATATATATCGACACGTTTTGTTTTTTGTGGTTTCCAGGTTCTAATAAAATTTTAGTCCATTCTGGTGGAAAATCGTTGATATATCTGATCCAAAAATCACGGACCTTATGTCGAATGAAGAATTATCGGAGCTAAATTCAAAATTTTCATCTATTTTGGAAAACTGGAAAATATTAGAACCCGAAGCAGAAAGATGCATACAATCTCTTGAAAAGGTAATTATAGAATTAATTATTTTCAATCCTTTATTTGAAATTTATTAACGTGTGCTTTGATTTCCAGCTCGATAATGATCAGCTTCGCATTATTGGTGAAACAGTTAGACCAAAAGGAACGTATGGAGCCATTCTTGAACTTCAAAAATTATTGGAAAATAAAAAGGAACAGAAAGCCTTGGAATTTGACAATTTATTTGGAGATGAAAAAGATTTTACCAAAGAGGATGGTGGAGATCACAAAGAGATTTTATCACTGACTCTCGAAGATCATACAAATCCAGATGTCGCTTTTATTTTTGATTTAATTCGATATACGTAAGTTCAATAATTTAGTAATAAATTACACCTGCAATTTAATGAGCTTTATGTAATTTCGTCCAGATGTGAAATGATCGCAAAAGGAATTACTCAACGATCTAATTCTGAACGAGATATCGATATCTTTATAAAGAGACATATTTTTTCTTGTTTCGATACGATTTTAGACAGCCATTTGTAAGTTTATTGATATTCTTAAATATTTTTATTGTTGGCAATAATGCTTACACTTTCTTAACTAAGTGGTGAGGTGGTGTCGAGAGCATCCAGAAATCGTCGGGCAGAGGCAGTAAATGCACCCAGTAATGCCGAGGGTTATCATTTGGATTGGATGTTCACGGTATGGGTAAAAAATTTTTCAAGACAAGTTTAAGAATGTTCTTAATAAATTTAAGTCTATTATATCCAAGTATTCTTAAATGATTACAACTCCAAAGATAAACCTTTAAAGTCTTCATTATTAACTATCTTGATATTTACTAAATTTACTAAATTTAAAGAGGCATGATCTGGATAGGGAACTATGTAGGGGTCGTGAATTTTCTCTTTGTGAACGCACCGGTTCAAAAACGGAAGACACGCCCAAAATCTTCTCAAATACTCTCAAAGTGCAAAAAACTTTAAGAGATATGCACCGAAATTTAATCGAAACGATATCTACCGAGGGAGGTGGGACACTGTCAAGACCGGTTCTCCAAGCGAGCACAAAATTGTTGATGCCCGGATTTCTGTCGTCATACTTTTTTATGCGCGCAATTCTTATTATCTACGTTGGGGGTGGATTTTATGCATCCGCGAATTTAGCTGATTTCTACATTCCATCGAAATATCAAGAACTCGAATTTATCATTAAAATATCACGGTCTATGCTCCAGATAAAAGTAAAGTTTCATTTAAGCAATCTTTTTAATTTTTAAAGTTTTATTTGCACTTACTTGATTATTTCTTGCAGAAATTATTATCAGTTACTATCTCCTGGTTCAAGAAAATGAAGAACAGGGCTGAAAAAGAGAAATTTATATCTGGGAAGGTGGTAATTCCTGCTAGACAGGAGGAGTTCAGATCCTTCCAAAAATAAGAGTTCCGAAAACAAAAGGTTAGTGACAAAATTTGCTGAAATATTGTATTTAACATAACATACTGATCAAGATATACCATTCCTTTTCAGATCACCTAGAACCCGATGATAACATGATAGAGTAGAAAAGATTAATGTAAAATTTGCATATAATTGTTAATGAATAAAATTGAGTTTACGTAGTAATAATCTTGAATCTATGATCAACGCATCATATAATATCATAGCAGTTACATATAAGGCCAACAAAGTTTGCCTGAATTCGAATGTATTATATACTGTATGTGTGAGTATTGAAGAAATAGTCTTTCGCCTGAATCATTTTTATTATTGATTAATAGATCAGGTTTGATCGATTGCCTACATTTCCGAGGAAGTGAAACTATTAAGATAAAACCGATTCGATTCAAGTTTAACCGAGATAACTAAAAATTTATTTGTTGGGAAATAATTGCTACGCTAGTCGGGAATTTTATTGAAATCTTTGACGACAGCCCGTCGCCGAAATTTTGATACTTTAGTTACACATTTTAAATAAATAATAAATATATAAAATCTATTACTAAAACATGCAATCCGAGGTTGATTCATTAAAACACCGAATTTCTGAGCTCGAAGCCAAGAATGCCGAGCTTTTAAAACGGGTTATGGAAGAGAGCACCAAACGTGAAACTGAGAATGTTGAGCTCAAAGCCAGGATCGCCAAATTGGAACAGACCGCTGAAGAAAATGCTAAGCTTAAAGATAGAATCATAAAATTGGAACAGAAACAGATGCAGGCTATTACTAATAAACAGGAGCCATCTCCTACAAAAGATATTTCACCACCTATCGAGAGCCATTCTGATGAGGAGAAAGGTATTACTCCTAATCCCTTGCCTAAAATAGAACATAGCTCAACCCAATCTGAATCTTCAGCATCACCTATTCACACAGAGACTAAAAAATCAGAGGACGAGGACTTTAAAATCTTGGATAGAGCACAAAAAGAAACGATTAGTGAGAAAATGAGAGAAAAGAACCGGGAAAAGAAACTTCAAGGATCACTTAATAAATAATGAGAGAAAAAATGCCTGTTTACCCAATGGATATGCCTCGTTTTATTCATCTAATTTCAGAGAAGTGTCCCAACCGAGTCTAACTGCTAGAGGATTGTCTACTGCTTTAGTAAAATCAAAAACCACGAATTCTCGATTTCGCAAAAGTTTATCAATTATTTTGAATACTTTTTTTGGATCATCTGTGTATTGATGTATGATTCTGCATATATCGTCTCTAGATCCACTTTCTCGGAATAAAGCTAAGTGTGAGATATTTTCACGAATAATTTTTGGGATTTGTGTATATTTCTGGCTTACATATATAGGTGAGACATTTTGATGTTGGCCACTAATGAAGTAAGGAATAATTCGTTCTTTTACTTTCTTTGGTTCGGCACATAAATCCTCAAATACTATAACTGTGCTCCATTCTGGTGAAAATTTAGTTATATCTGAAATTTTATCTGATGTTATTCTTTTAAATATAACATCTTCTCGATATTGTTTTGGCCCATTTGTGAAAATCTGATAAAAATATTTTACTAATTTCCATTTTGGTTTGAAATGCTTGCTTACTAATACAAGGTCATTATTTTGATATAACGATCTCCTTTCTTATTTTTAAACATTTGTAGTGGTTTATCACCAAGCATAAGATTTAATTCCATATTAGTTTTCCCGCTATTAGAGCTTTCAGATATGAGCATCCTAAATGGACAGTCTGGTGAATACTTATTGCCTTTCATTTGTTCTAATGATTTTTTGGACATCTCATTGATATTATACAGTATATATACATGGGCATGCCATTATCTTTCATTCTAACAAAAATAAGCAATATTTATTCTTTATATGATAAAAAACCTCTTTTTTGTAATTTACTTTTGATATAGGGAAATAAATCACATGTATGGGCTACTTCGATTAGATCTATACCCTCTCTTTTATTTATATCCTGCTTTTTTTGATCGCATGCCCTTTGTGAGTCTAAATTATCCGAATTTTTATGGAACATCATATTCTGACAATAGTGCTGGATGCCTTGGTGCTCCCATACCAATTTTAACTCTTCATTATATCCATCAAGTCTCAGTCCATCCAAGAACTTTGATGCACATGGTGGGAATTTTTTGCCTAATAAATTCTCAAAAATGTATTGGTACTGGTGCTTATTAAAAAAATATGGACAAATTGGGCACTATTCAAATTTTGTTGCAATTAATAGATAAGAATATTCAAACTGATGGAGTCTGTTCTCGCATGTCCAAAGATATACATTCTAATTATTGATTTGTCCAGTTTTAGCTAAAATACTTCCATTACATTTCTTAATATATTCTTTGGCTTGAAATAGTTTGCTATTAAAAACTTGAATGAAGTTAATAAATCCAGTATGATATTTTCACATAAATTTGTCTGGTGGATACTGGATATTTTCAGGATTTTTAATAACTTGAAGTTCTTTTCTCTTAAAAGGTCTTTTTGGATTCTGTTTCATCAAATGAGCAGTAGATTTGATAGACTTGTTCTTGAGATAATATAAGACTGGTTGTGACGGATTTTTATTAACAACAATTTTTTTGATTTTATAAATCTGCAATAATCAATATGGATCAGTTGCTCAATGTCTGTGATCCTCTTCTAGCTTACCAGGTTTTAATAAATACCTTACTGCAATACCTTTCTGTAATTTTTGTTCATATTTTCCAATAGGTTTCTTAGCTTTACTAGAAGATTTGAATATAACTTTTTTTAATAACATAGCAAGGGATGGTGTTATACCAATAAAACAGGTTTTACTGTTATTTATGTAGGTGAGAATTTTTTGAAGAGCTTTATCCCATAATTGTGATCGCTTCCCTTCTGTTAATCGCTTCTCGATAGCATATTGAATTTTATATATAAGTTTTGTTACATTCTTTTTTAATGTTTTAATAAATGCCAAACTCTTGAAACTATAAAGATCAACAACTCTTATAACAACGTTATACTGTTCCATTCCTCAAGAAAATGCTTTATGAAAACTTGCATCGTCATCAGTCATCAATAACATTGGCCAGATAAGAGAATTGGTAGAATTTTTATATATTTCTTTAATTACAATCCAAATTTCAAACTATTTTTTGATGTTAACGAATGCTCGTCCCTGAAGCGAGTTACTATATCAATCACTAGTAAACTACAAACAAATATCCTTTTACCATCTAGATTATCTCGAACATGAATTAGTATATCACATTGATGGACTTTATTGAGAATCTTAATTTTCTGAAAGCTCGCTTCAGCCTTATGTTTTTGTGGAGTAAGAAATATTTGATAATCATATTGATCCTCTAACCACTTTGCTATATCTTTGAGTTGAAAATGTTTATACCCTTCTTCCCGACATGCTTTCTACAATTTTTTACTATTTGGATGGAATCCAGGTATATTATAGTAAATAAAACATAAGACAATTTACAATTTCTCATAAGTATTAATTATGATAGTGAGTATACTCATTTTCAGTGTATTCTACTATAAATGTTTTGATGGAGGTCAGGGTAAGTCAAATATATTATATCAAAAAAGCCATAATATTTTGTTTAGAAAAATCATCAGATCTTTTATATATAGATATGGCCAATCTTGATCTTTTTATATACAAATTAAACGTGGCTTAAATCATATTGAAAATAATCTTCGAGGATCCAGTACACCATTAAACGATTCCATTAATATTATAGGAGAAATTTGTGGATCTTTAAATGCTATATGGCATAACTATCAGAATGCTTACCAGGATATAGATAGTATTATAGTTCAATGAGATAAACGAGACAATCAAATCTTATAGTTACAACAGAATATCAATTATTATAAACAGCAAAATGCCAATCTTCAAAATAAGACCAATCAACTCATTCAAGCATGAAATGTCTTGCAAAATAATGTTAACCAGCTTACTCAAGAATGAAATATCTTGCAAAATCGTGTTAACCAACTTATTTAAGAATAAGACACCTTGCAAAATCATATTAATCAGCTTATTCAAGAACAAGATACTTTGCAAGCCCAAATAATCCAACGACTGCAAAATCTTGAATGGTTAGAGAAAATAGAAAGATCTTGCAATTTTTGAAAATTAAATGCTATCTATATTAAAACTCAGAAAGATAAACATATTAGTACATTATTACATGATTAGTTTGCAATACTGCTTTTGAATAGGCGAGCATATCAGCAATTGAAACAGAAATTATGAAAATGTCACAATTATGAAACTATTTTGAGATTTTGAGAACTTTATAATTGATTAATTATCCAAGCATAAAGAAGACATATTGTTATATTATTAATAAAAAAATTTGTACAACAGCAATTGATTTTAAATTTATGGATACAAATTTTACATTTACAGAATAATCCACCAGTAAATCCAAATATGGCAGCTGCTGATAGACAACATATTTATCAAACTATTCAAACAGGCCTTGCCCATATTCCGTTATATATTGGCCAGGAACCACCAGATGATTATTGTAATAGAATTGAAACAGCCATTGGATACGCTGATACAATAATTGCTGATGTCAATAATGCAAATGCCAATACTTTTACTGATATACATAAGGTAGATATCTATAAATCAAAAATGGCAGGAAAGTATTTACCAGTTCCACTTCAACATGCAGGAAATAATATTGATACTTCAGCCCAATTCAGAGTATGGCTTGGAGATACCTATTTATAAAGAACAGTTAGTAATTACCAATCTGCTATTCAAAAATTATTTCAAGAAACATTTAAACCTGATGATAATCCAGATACATACAAAGCTAAAATTTGACAATATACATTAGGAGTGCCTGATGATGATGCTAATGCTTTGGAATTTCTTATAGATCATTTACCTGCTGAGCTTTTTATTCAAATAAAAAGAGCAAATCCTATTGGAATTATAGCTTTTTTTACTTCGCTCAAAGAATTATGGTTTAAGTACCAACTATTACTTGGCTATGGAGACTCAATTTCCAATCAAATTTCTCAAGTTTCAATAGTTAGTGAGTGACCAACAAATACCACTTTGGCTTTAATTACCTTTGAAGAAATACTGTAGATAGAAAAATTCAAACAGCAGTTGCTTTATTGGAAAATCAAAAGGGTAAGTCTAATAAAATATGTTCTAATCAAAATTTATACTTGAATAGTATAGATTATGATTTATTCTTTTTTCTGAATCTTAGGATCTAATGAAGGAGGTTTCTAATCGCCTTTTCAACCATGAAGTAACTGCCTTTGACAAGAGAAAAAATAACTCTTTGGATGTAAAGTTGATACATATACCAAGTAATAATAATATAAATGCAGTTATAAAAGGTATGGCAAAATTATCATTAAATCTAGTCAATACTTCAAAAATTATCAAAAATCTTTATACAGATATTCAAATTGTAATAGAACTAGATCTGATTCTGGAATAGGTTCTGGCTCTGAAGAATCTGAAGCTGAATCTGATCATAGTTTTGATTTACATGTCTCTAATATAAAAAAAAACAAGTAAAATGGGAGAGTAATTCAAATAAATTATTATCTAAAAAGAAGATATCCAAATCTTATAAAACCAAGAAGGAAGCAAAGCTTCGAGTTTTCAACTCATCTAAGTTTTATAAGGAAAGTTAGAATAAGTAAACAGTTTTAGAACAAACTATTTGTAAAATTATTCAAAGTGAACTCAAATATATTTTACCTTTATTATTGCAAGAACTTAACTTTGGAAGTGAAAAGTTGTACAGTATTCAAAATAATTATCGAGAATCGGTTTCAGAAATATCTGAATCAGATGGAGAGGAGAAAACATTGGATGACTCATGGAAATAGACTTTGTTCAAAGAAAAAAACCTATTACAAGCCTTGCAACTATACCATATAAAATAAAGAATCTGAAAATCCCTGCATTGGTATTAGATAGTAGAGCTGAACCTCCCATTATATTAAAAGACATTGTTAAACGAATAAATTGGCCAATTGATAAATCA